TTTTGTTTCTGACAGGAAGGTTAAAATTGGGGTGTAGAGTCTAACACACTCCTTGAGTTGGGATACTGTAGAGGGGCCACCCAACCCTCTACAGTTCCAAAAGATGGTGTTCATTGATGAGGGTGGGGCCACTCATGGTTGGCCTCCCTCACCACTGACAGATCAATTTTTTGTTTTTTAGGGCACTAGTTTGATTCAAAAGAGGTTTCATTTGGTGTTTGGTTAGGATTATCAGGAGAAGAGGTTGATGGAAGTTGTCTTTTCCCTGATGAGGGTATAGATGAAGATGGCGATGGATGAGATTCTGATTTTGGTTTTTGGGGAACAATTCTTTTCTAGGTTTTGGTTTTAGGATTTTGTGGGTGGATGATAGGATTTTCAATGGATGAAGGAAGGCACTGGTTAGGGTTATCTGGGATGAGAGAGTGTTCTTGGGACTGTGTAGGATTATTTGGGATGAAGGATTGTTCTTCGATCATAAGGTCTGCTTGAGTTTCAGAAGATGGTAAAGCATTATCTAGTTGATGGGAAAGGTTTTGCTGGGGGGAAGTTTTGTTATCAGAGGGTTGGATGTGAATGAAAGTTTTAGGATTGCGGTTGTCAGAATCTGGAATGTGAGGTGACTGCTTGCTTGAGGAAAGGGGCTGAGAAGTGGATGAGGTATTGTGAACTGGGGGTTCTTGGTTAGAGTGATTAGGAGGTTGGCTGATGATGTGGGGGTATTCAGAAGCTTTGAGCCAGTCACCAAAAGCTCCTTCTTTCACAGTACCCTTAGATATTTCTTCTGATCTGATTTCACAATTCCTGTCTAGATGGCCCAGTAACCCACAGTAGAAGCAGAGACTGACTAACTTTTCATATTTAAAAACAACCATTATTTTCTTGTTTTGCAGCTGGAGAGTGGCGCATCTTAGCAAAGGTTGATCAAGATCAATGGCTACAAGAAGCCTGATGCATTTACCTGCTAGCCATCCAGTTTGGGGGATTTAAACATTGATGACCTTATTGAACATACTTCCTATTTTCGCACCCACTTCAGTTGAGCACCAGTCAAGTGGAAGATTCCATGCTTGAACCCAAATTTCAAGTTCTTTGAAGCAGGGATGATTTGCATGTAAGTCCTTCTGCCAATCTCTGAGTATGAGGAACTGATTTTCAAATGTCCAGGTTGTGCCTTTGCTAACTTTGATTTTGTCCTCAATATCCTCAAACACAAACTGGAAATAATTTGGGCTGATTTCTCTGATAGAAACAGGAGACCGGATTTGCCATATGATCCCCACTGCGCGTCGTAATCCCAGCAATTGAGCTCGTTTATGGCCATGAATTTTGCCAAAGAGACTCTTTTTGCACACTTCAGCACTGTTCTGGATATCATCTATTTTTAGGGCTAGGAGATTAGCCTCCTTATTTGATAGCTGGATCGAAGTAAGCTTCTGAACTATGTCTTCTTCCATTGAAGGAATCTAGAGATGTTAACCTTAGAGAGAAGAAGAACCCAGAATCCGTCGCAACCTGATAACAAACAAACACCAGAGCTCAAAAGTAAAAAATTCGAAAAGGAAACGAAGGGGAAATGAAAACAGGGATGATAATTGACTGAGAGAACCGGGAAGAGAGAATAATCTCTACTAATCAGCCTTCAATTGAGGAACTTCGTCGTCTCCAGCAAGAGAAATCGGGGCTCCCAATTGCGAGAGGAATATCTGTTCACTTCAATCAAATGTGTAGTTTTGTATTTTCAAGCTTGTCTTTTGTGAATGTTCCCAACCATCATGATTCACAAACCAATTTCGATGTCTATGGTTAGAAAGGATGGGGACGAAAATGATGATATATAGTATTAGTGACTATAAATTTTGCCAATTGGTTGACCCAATCCTAATTTTAAGTTTTCCAATCTATATGTATTATTGTTAGTTATTAATTTTCTTTTTTAATTCTACGAGGTTCGAATAAATTAAAAGAAATAGTGCATTGTTCGATTTAATTTAACTCCTCTACAGAGACATATTGCAAAAGCCAAAAGTGTTCAATTGACCAACGGAAGCTTGCAAGTAATTCAACTATTCGAGGAATGGCCCAGAACGATTAAGACTCGTGTCATTATATCTACAATTCTTTTCAATTTAAAATTGACAAGGCAATACTCGTGTGGTTAATTTATAAATGTGCTAGTTTGATATAGTCATATAGATCATTCAAAATTGAAAAGAACATGAAACAAATAGCCTATTTACTACAATGAGGTCCAAAGAAAATCTACTAATAATTAATACAAATGGTTAGCTTAAAACATAAAATAATTTGATTTTAGTATTTAATATTAAATCATAAAAAAGTAATACTATATCATTAGAAAAGGTGCTTTATAAAAAAAACTCCCTCAAATTATTATTAATTTATTTTAAAAAAATTGTGTTTTCTATTAAAAAATCTAAATTATTTAAAATAAAATATAATCACACGTGATTTCTGTAAGATAGCTACATTGAAACATATTTCGGTTGGTAAAGTAATTTTAAAAATAGATATAACTCGAGAAAATTGACTCATTTAATCACATTCTTACCTCATGGGATTTTTTTACCACACTTGCACGTCAAATACAATTGTATACATACATATATATATATATATATACTTGTGTCAGTGTGTGTACAATATTACCAATGAATGAGGTATGAATTAGGATGAATTCTATTTTTTTTTTTTTTCTCTAAACGATAGGAAATTCTAGTTGCTTAAATAAATATAGAATTGAAGAAGAGTGGCCATGCACATTCTCATTCTATTCAATTCAATCTAGCATTTAATATATATCCTTTTTGTTGACCTCCTCATCTTTTGGTTACCTTGATGATTAATATTTTTGAATGAATTCTCAGGTCATAAATATGCTGACAACTCATCATCTCAATAATTAAAAAAAAAAAAGCAACGCAACCAAAACCCGATGAATTGTCGGTGGGAAAAATGTGGAATCATCCTGAAGATGATAATAATAATAAGCAGCCTAAATTAATTAAAGAGTAACTACATACTGGGAGGGGACAACACTTTATTCGCCACCCGAACCCTTTTTCATTATTATTACTATCCTATTTTATATTTATATCAGTTTTTCCATTTTTCTATATTTATAATTAAATACAAGGAAAATCGTTCTAACTATTTTTTTTTTCCCCTTGTAAGTAAGTAATAAATAAGTAGTAATGAACAATCAATCGTGTGTAGCGTAGGTGGAACTTGTATCGTCCTCTCCTCTCAAAAAAAAAAGAATACAAGCTGTATCACATATGATTATCTTGTTCTATGCTTCATTCACTCATTGAATAATAATCGTTTCTTTAACTACACTTATGCCATAATAAAATATCATCTCATATTTTAATTTATCTTGTTCGTTTTAATATTTTAATAATTTGAGATTGTTGTTTATTATTATTATTATATATTTATAAATAAATATTGTAGATATACGAAAAGTCTGACCGATAAACTTGCTGACAATACATATACATACGTAGTAAGTCTGCAGTTATTTATACACACAAGCTAGAGAGTCACGAGATGGGATAATTAATTGCTTCTAGAGAGAGAGAGAGAGGGTTTTTTTTTGTCCCCTCAAATTTCAAGGAAGCAAGCAGAAATTAGCCTAATAATCATAGTATTAATTAGTTAATTAATAAAATTAGAAGATGGGTGATTGGGGACCGGTGATAATAGCGGTGGTGCTGTTCGTTATTCTGAGCCCGGGGCTCCTTTTCCAGTTGCCGGGTCGGGGCAGGGTCGTGGAGTTTGGGAATATGCAGACAAGTGGTGTTTCCATTTTGGTGCACGCCATTATCTACTTTGGTCTCATCACTATCTTCCTCATCGCCATCGGAGTACACATCTACACCGGCTAGCTACCTACCTACCTACCTCACTTTTTCTCTTTATTTATATTATGTTTTGCTGCTCTTGTTGTTGGTTTTTCTTTTTTTTTTTATTTTAATTTCAGTTTACTGGCTTTTGCTCTTATTTGGTAATCTGCAGGATTTCATGTATGGATCTAATGGTTTGTTAATTTATTGGTCTTATAAATCTGCTGTTTAATCTTTCAATTTGTTATCTGGAGTGGAGTGAGCTTTGATTCATCTTAGATTTATTTATACCGTCATACTTTTATTTATTTGTTTTTCATTATATTATATTTTTTTAAAAAAAAAAAAACATGGCTGGTTAGACTAATTGTTTATAGATATGCTTAACCATTAAATTCCCCGGCCTAATAACAAATATCTGTGAAAATATATGAGAGGGGAAGGAAAATAAGTTGAGCCAGTATGATAATTGATAATTGCCAAAAAGTTGACACAAACGAAACGCCAGATAGATTAGATCATACCTGGTGTGGTGACTCCCAGTTTTGATTTATAACAAACTATTTCAACAAGACAAGAAATTAGTAAGATAAAAAAAAATTGTCTTCTTGTTAAATAAGTGTTTGTCTAGCTTTTGGCAAAATCCGAAACCACAAAAACAATTTTCTTTCATATTTGATTGATGGTACTCAGAACAACCCAAAATGTGTAACAACAGAAGACAGACAACCACAGAGAGGCTACTGTACATTACAGACAGAGAGCAATAATTCTTGGCTCACACACAACTCTGAATTGTGATGTGATGAATTATGCAGTTTTCATTGCCAATACATATCCAGAAGCAAAAAAGACTTCCCCCCCAAAAAAAAAGAGAGGGTAAAATAACATCAGAAGTCCTGTCCGGAAAGGTAAAAATAACATGTGGGACTCCAGATGGTTGATATTCGAATAATCAAAATCTTCATCCTTCAACTTTTTGTTTGATATAAATACAGAAATACCCTTCCACATGTTCTTCTTCAGGTATATCCCTTTAACACAGTAACAAAATAAATATCCACAGTCGTAAAATGCGAGTTTCGGGCATAGCTAGCAGCAAATTGACAGCCCCAACTAGCTCCGGTCGCCTCACAAAACCTTCCAGGCTGCAAACCAAATCATCAAGTAAAAATAGTTTAGCTTCATACAGATTAAATGTAAAACCTTGTGGAGAGTTTACAGAGGCTGGAGAAAGGTCAGCTCATCTTGTTGTCCAAACAAAATAAAAATTACAAGGTATTAACTGCTCATCAAATACTCAAGAGCTTCATCATTTTCTTTATGTGTGCACATCAGTTAAAATTCTAAGAGGCAGAACAACTTGCTCTGGAAAAATACATCAACCAGCAAAAAAAAATGCCACTCAATAAGGGGATAATAGAATAATTTTCCTGGAGATGAAAAATCAAAAAAGATTGCTGCACCACCATTCATAAGATGAGGGAGTTGATCGAAGGCCTTTGCCTACTATGTGGCTAACAGAGTAATTGCTTAAACAATTTAAGTATATTGTAACAAATTTGCTCAAATGTTTGCATCTGAAGCATTGTGTGCGAGTTAAATCACACCAAAAAGATGGGAGGAAATAGAGAATGTACAACAACCGAGACCAATGAACACGAGATCACAATCGTTAGGGTCAACAAACAAAAGACATAGCAAACAAATGTCAACCACAGTAATCAGCAGATAATGCAACAAGTCAGTCAGCAAAAGTTGATAACATATCTTCACCTTTCTCTAACCATCTAAAACATCATCAGCTGAATGAAACTTCCAAACAAACAAATCGCAATTCTCAAATTCAAGACATAAGAATTGGCAACAAGTTTCAGATTAAAGGTTGAATCTTGATCGGTCAACTCAAGTTACAAGAACAAAAAACCCACTATCCCTTACAAACATTATCACACAATCTGCACGAATTAGTTACCATCAATCTACGCCAACGAGCTACAGATTACAAAACAAAGGGGACAGATGAAATTGCAACTAAAAATCTAATCCTTGAGCAACAATAAATAACTCAATTAGTCCAACACAGGATAGGGCAGGGTTCTTACAGGCAGCGCCTTTCCTAGGCGAAGGAGGAGCAGAATTACAACACAGGATAGCTTTCCCAATGACGGTGATGCTCGAAACCACCCCTACAAAGTACAACACCATGACGAGCCCAAGGACCCATGGCATCATAACAAACCCAATAAAGAAGGTGAGCGATCCACACAGCATCAGGGTCAGGGACATCCCCAGCAGCAAGGAGGCGAAACCCGCCGGCGTGATCTGCTGGAACGAAGGTCCCGGCCTCCCGCGGCGGTGCGACAGCGACGAATCGTCGGAGAAATCGATCGGCGGAGGCGGGGAGCGCATGATGTTGAGGACCAGGGAGGATAGGTCGTGCAGCATCTTGGATCCGTAGTCCTGATGCTCGTTCTGTGGCTGCTGCCGCCTCATGTTTTTACAAGGTTTTTTCGACAAATTTACAGGAGGAACCCTGTTGTGCTAAATCCGGGGAGGAAGAAAGAAATCGAGGAGGTAAATGGATAAGGGCTGCTTGATTATTACGAGGTCGGAAGGGATTATGGGAAGCTTTTGCAGCTGTATAGGAAAAAGTGCAGATGAAAAAATGGATTTTGAAAGGGAGATTTATATCAATTTGTCAATTGGAGGAGGAGTCCTAATAATGGAATTGGAGAGAGACACTCTGTTTGTTTGTTTTCAAGTTTCTTTTTCTTGCTTCTTCTTTTTATTTTCTTCAGAAAAAAGTTGATTGTTTTTGGTTTGACAATGAAGGTAAGAGGTAGGTATTTATTATCCTCTGCTCCGCAGCTCATTGCAACTGCCAAACTATAAATAAATAAATGAGTTATTAAGTATTATTGTGAAATAGTCGGTGTTCCCT